CCCCTCCCCCACACCGGCACAGGTAGCAGTACTAAAACTGAAGAAAGCTCTCTTTTGCATTGTCCCGGTGACAGTCTTGCTGGAAGACCAACTTCCTCCCTCCCCCTCAGGTCGTCGCTTCGTCCGAAGTCCCACTTCCTCTCCCCCCAGGAAGCCACCCTGGATCCGCCTATGGGCAAACCTAAGATTTGAAGGGGACATAAAAAAAGAAGAGCTACAACTGTGAAAAGTATGCATACTTCCAGTGGATAAATTAATGACTGCGATATAACACCAGCAGAAGAACCGGCAGCAAGACGCTCCAACACTGTAAGCTCGTGGCCTTCTTCCCTGTATTTCAGGATTAGTCGTTTAGCCTGGAAGAATGGGGTAAATGAAAAAATAAGTTTGCCGAGCAAAAAGAGGTGTGGTAACAACAAAAAAAGTACATACAAGATCATACGAGAGAAATTTTATAGCTGATTCGGGCGCAATTTTTGCAACATTGACACCGTTGCCTCGCCAAAATGACTTCAGCCCACCTTCCTCGTAGAGCAGCCGAACTGCTTTTGGAAATCGCAGACGATTTAGCCGAGTTGCATGAACCTAAAAACATAGAAAAGCGCCATTTGAGAGTAAATTCGTGGTCGAATGAAAGACTTATTACAGCCCTTGGATTTATTAGATGGCAGATTTTTTACAGTTTTTTTCTATGATAGATGAGATTTATTACATTCTTTTGACTAACACCTTACTTATTTCGATTTTCACTGCAACCGGAAACCTTTTTTGCTAGCTAAAATCGAAGGATTATGATAGAATCCTGTCGTCCCTATCTATGCTTTCCTGATTTTTCTCCATCAGTGGAAAATTTAGTTCTTGTTTACCATTTCTTCAACTAATCTACGACCCAATATTCGCACTGAAAGTTTCCTATCACTAAGAATTTCAGCATAAATGTTAATACAAGTCTAAGTGTATAAAGCACAGCGTAGGACCATTTTTTTAATAGGAGGAATGGTCTTGCGCTGTACTTTAACACTTAGACTCATACTGGCTCTGGTCGACTGCTCTCCTGGAGGAAGGCTGGCTGCTACTGCCCGAAGTAAGGCTTATGGCTACTGCTCCCGGAAAAGGAAGGCTCTCAGTCGTGCTCCGAGGAAAAGTACCTTCAACTCGTCCAAAAAGGGGTTTTAGACCTAATTTCTCAGCGGGGCAGGATTACGGGGATTGTGATAATATATCCTGCAGGTTTGGGGCAAAAAAAAACGAATCACCCAGACTCTAAGTTAGCCTTTTTTAATTCACCAAGTCCTCGGCTGGCATTTTGTCCTTGTGAAATACTCAGATTCTTTATATTGCTGAAGATCTGTCACTGTGAATTGTTGTTCTTCGTCACTGGCCAGCATTAGGAAACTCTACTGATGCATACTATTTCTGCTGAAAAGTTTACCTGGAGGTATATTTTCACTCGATCCAGTGGTGCCGTGCTTGATCGACTCATACATCCAGCCACTCCACCAGCAACCAGATGTTTCCACCAAAATCCGGAGGCAATTTCTTGCTGAGAAAAATCCTCCGGTACCAAACTATCTTCGCCTATATCAATCACCTGAAGCAGGAAAAAATAATCAAAAGGGAAAGGAATTGGCGCAGCAATTATGCGTTTTTTATTCAGCAAAATACTAAACGTAGACGAGTTTATTAGCAGTACAGACGATGGATTAGTTCGAAAGAAAAAGAAAGGTTAATAATTATGAAATGAAAATTTATAAAAAAAAA